GCATCGGAGCAGGTGCCGCTTGGGCCCTTGCTGGCGTGCGCCAGGGATCGGAAGTCGCCAACTACACGCCTACACCGATCTGGGTCGGGGCCGTCCTGGGCCCAGGATCGGTGTATACCACCTCGTGGCTTGGCGAGGGAGGCATCTGCACTGACCGGGCCCAGGATAAGCCTGGCCAGGATCGGTGTACCCTGAGATCCGACGTTGCGAAGCACATGCAACATCGCGAAAATTCACGACAGGAGCCCTCGACCTCATCTTGCTGCGGCATCTTTCGAGCCAGATCGATCTGCGATCGTCCCGGCGGAAATGCCCGTTGTGAAACACATGCAACGCCTGGAGCGTAAGGGTTGCCCTGACTTCGGATCAGCTGTATTTGGGGCGATTCCCTCATTAGGACGGAATATTCCGCCTTTTTTTGTTCAACCTTCTTTGATTCCGATTTCCGCCCCTCATTACCGTCGCTGCTTCCGACGTGCCTTTGCGGAAACATCCGCCCTGCTGCTTGTGAGGGAAAATTTTCCATGCCCATGTCCACCGCCTGATCCGACTCCCCGTCAATTCTCCATTGAGGAGAATGAGGACGACGACGAGGAGAGGAGGACGAGGACGAGGAGGAGGAGGACGAGGAGGGTGATGGAGGAGGAGGAGGGTGATGGGGGAGGAGGAGGAGGAGGAGGAGGAGGAGGAGGAGGAGGAAGAGGAGGAAGAGACGGGGGAGGAGGGAGGGGAACACGGGGAGGGGAACGGGGGCAAACATGTAGGGGGGAACACAAACACAAACACCCGCCCTCCACCACACGACGGAGTAAGTATTGAAACTGATGTTCTTTGATGTGTTTCCTCACTGTTGCTGTTGGTTGTATCGTCTGTCGTTTGTTGTTTTGCCTTGTGTTTTCTGTAGTTCCCACCGCCACCATAGGGAATGTATGTGTAATTCGCCCACAAGGCGGAATCGGTGGCACCCCCCACATAAGGAGTCCTTCTGTAGATCCTTTGCGATCTTCCGCCTCCGTGTCCTCCTCATCGATCTGCACGAGCGAGAGTTACTCACCGCACCCTTGCCCACATCCAGTCTGGAGCTCTTTCGGGACGCCTTCCGCTAGGCCTGTACAGCCTAACATGTGCATCTAGATGAATGTATACACATATATATACACATATATATAAATGTATGTATGTATATATGTATGTATGCATGTATGCGTGTATGCATGCATGTGTGTATGTATGTATGTATGTATGTATGTATGTATGTATGTATGTATGTATGTATGTATGTATGTATGTATGTATGTATGTATGTATGTATGTATGTATATACATATACATATACATATACGTATGAACTATCGATTCGGGCCCCCTTGGGGCCAAGTACGTCCATATCCACCACCTGCCGAAGTCCCCGAACATCGATCCCACAGGCGGTGGGTACTTGGCGATTGCGCTGGGTGTGGTGCGCCGCTGCGCGGTTTTTGCGATCTGCGCCGTTGGGGCATTGGGGGGCACCGCGCTGCCCTCCTCGGTCCTCCTCCTCGCTTCGGAGTCGCCGAGCTGCGGGCACAGGAGGGTGAGGAGGAGGAGGAGGATGGAGGAGGAGGAGGAGGAGGAGGAGGAGGAGGAGGGGGAGGAGGATGAGGAGGAGGAGGAGGAGGAGGAGGAGGAGAAATGCCCCTGGCTGGCGGCTCGGAGGCCGCGGGCTGGCACTGCCGCTTCGCCGCGCCCCTTCCCCCCCCCCGACCTCAGTCTGCAGCCCTCCGCCGGCGGCGCGTGGGGCGCGTGGGGCGCGCGGGGCCCCCTTGCGGCAGGACGAGGTCGCGCGGAGCCGCGGGCGAGCAGCAGCAAAAGAGATGGCGAGGCGGGCCTCGGAGGAGAGAGGCGCCGAGGAGGAGGGGAGAGGTGCGAGGAGCGGGCCGGGAGGAGAGAGAGAGCGAGGGGCAGGCAGGGAGGAGGGAGGGCGGGGTCGAGGGAGCATCGGGGAGGGAAGCGCAGAGAGTCGGTCCTGGGGGGGGGGAGACCAGGGAGGAAACGACGGCGTTCTCAATTGTCTCGAGACGCCCGTTTTGAAGCGCAACACGTCCCGTGTTCAAGACGTCCGTGTCAATATGCGCTGCGTTCTGGCGAGTGCGTCGCGTCGGACCTGCGTGTTTTCGGTCTGCGTGTGGAGCTCCGTATCAATACGACACGTGCTGCGGGCTGCGCAGCGGGGCCGCGGAGGTGGCGGCACGAGCACGCCTTCCCCGGGGGTCGCTCGGGTCTGTCGGCTCCGGAGCGCCAGGCCTCCCCGAGGCCGCGCCCGCGGCGGGAGGGCCCTGCGCCGTTCCAGGAGAGATCCGCTCGGACTTCGGTTGGGAGGTTCTGATCATGCGTTGTGTTACAGTCAAAAACCTAACAAGGACGCGCGACTTTGCTCAGGGTGCCCTTGCGTCCTCGCTCTTCCTTGCTCTTGCGTCCTTGGGGTTTTCGTCGCCCGCCGCCCCCAAAATCCCAACTTCGGCTTCCAAGGGTCTTGCGTCCTTACCGCGCGTCCTTCTTAGGGTTTTTGGATTGTGTCGTGTTCCAAGCGGCTTCAGCCCGAACCACCAGACAGAATCTCGAGCACCAGGCAAGCACCGAGACTCGAAGGTTGGTCACGTGTCGGGCCCTGGGAGACGCTCGTGCGACGCTCTTTCGACACCGTTTCGACACTTTTCTGGGTGCTCGCAATTCTTTCTGGGATGTGGTCCTCGAGTACGATGGGAGCAACATCAGCGTTGTGTTTTCTGTTCGCGTTGTCTCTTGCCCCTCCGGAGAAAAAGTGCCGACGACGCGCCGCTGCTGCCGAAGAACAGAAGCATACACTCTCGGCGCTCCGCGCGGCCTCTTTGGACCCGCGCCGGGCCGCCCTGGCGCGCTCCTCGCGCCGGGGAGGAGGGCCCAGCGCAGATCCAGGAACTCCGTGCGGAGCGCCGAAAGTTTGTGTTTATTCACCAGCCTCGAACATATCCCTATCCCTAAGATTGACGTGCCAAAAGGCGATGACAATCTTAGGGGTGCGCCCTCAGAAACTCAGGGAATCCCTATGATCGGCATCGTGATGAGGCGATGCCCAGCATAGGGATAGGCATATGTTCCAGGCTGGTAGTCTATGCTATTTTTTCTTCCTCTATTTCAGTTCCCGTTGTTTCGTCTCTTTGCATTGCATTGCATTGCATCGCATTGCATTGTTGCGCATAGCTTTGCATTGTTTTGCATGGCATTGCTTTGCATCGCTCTGCCGTGCCTTGCTTTGCGCCGCACTGATGTGCGTCGCTTTGCATTGCTTTGCACCGATCTGCACTGCTCGTATTGCTATGTGTTGCCTTGCGCTGCGTTGCGTTGCGTTGCTTCGCATCGTGTTGCATTGCGTTGCATTGCGTTGCGTTGCCTTGCATTGCTGTGCACTGCTGTGCACGCATTGCGTTGCATCGCTCCGCGTCGCTTTGCATTGCGTTGCGCCACATCGGTGGCATCGTATGGATGGCACCACTTATCGAGCACCGCTTGGATTGCACCGCCCTGCTCGCGCCGCACAGACCGCAGGACATCGCTGTTTGGAGCTCGCGTTGGCCCCGGCATGTTTGCGGTGACTTCGGTCTCTTCGGCTGGCCCCCAGGGCCTTCCAGACGGCCGAGGCCCCCAGAAGGGCCACCTCAGCGGCCCGAGGAGCGCCTCCTCGTCGTCGCCGCTGTCAAGACGCCGCCTCCAAGACGGGATGGGCCCTTGGACCATCTCAAGGCCACCTCGGACAAAGATGCATGCCCCAAACTGCTTTCCTCGAGGCCTCCTGGAAGGTCACGCGACGATTCCTGACGGCGCCCGCGAGCGCCCAACAGTGGGGGCGCGCAGAGAGAAGCCGCATGCTCTTCGTCGGGGTACCCCGGGTTCCTTCTCTCTCCTCGCGCTGCGCGGTGGCTTCCCGCGGCCGTGGAAGAAGCTGCTGCGGTCGGGGTGCCCTGGGCTTCCCCCCCCCAGTCGCCACTCTCGCGCGGGTCGTCAGGGATGTTTTTTTTGTTCGCGAGGGCTTCTCGCGGCCGCGTCCGCACTGTACTTGGAGCGCCTGGAACTTCCGGGCATGGCCCCCTTTAAGAGTACAAGCGATACTCTACAACTTGCTCGAAGAGGCATTCAGTGCCTACGGCACGGTGGCGGATACATACAGATATACAGACATATATGTATATATATATATATATGTCTGTTTGTACAGCGGATCTATATATATGTATATGTAGATCAGTGTGAAAGGCCGAACGGTCATTTATTGCCCCTGGGTGCGTGGCTCCAATGCGGATAAGTGGTGAGGGTTATGCTTGCTGCGTTGTTGTTACTGTTGTGTTTGTTCATGTTATTGTTGTGGTTGTTGTTGTTGTTGTTGTTATTATTGTTGTTGTCGTGGTTGTTGTTGTCGTTGTTGTTGTTTGTTGTCATCAACCCCCCTGCGACCCACTCCGCGACCCACCCGCGACCCACCCCGCGACCCACCCCGCGACCCACCCCGCGACCCACCCGCGACCCAGCCCGCGACCCACCCGCGACCCACCCGCGACCCACCACGTGACCCGCCCGCGACCCACTCGCGACCCACCCCGCGACCCACCGCGCGACCCACCCCGCGACCCACCCCGCGACCCACCCCGCGACCCACCCGCGGCCCACCCGTGACCCACCCCGCGACCCGCCCTTGACCCGCCCGCGACCCACCCGCGACCTGCCCGCGACCTGCGGCGGGCCCAATGCATAATGTGTAAAACTTAGGCGCCTGCGGCGGGCTTCTTCAAAGCCTCGCAGACTGACGACGTCCTCGCCGCCCCCTCACTCTTATCCGCAACTGCGGGGTGCGATGTAAATAACACGTGTGACGGCGACGTCGGCGACGACGATGAATATTTCGGGCTGGGGTACCAGAGTCACGAACCCGCATGTATCATAGAACAACATGTCCTGTCTGTGCAGTGACTGACATCTTGTTTGCAATATTGAAGTGGGCCCAACAAGATGCAACCTTGCTCCAGGGAGGGCATGCCATGACGCAGTTGCTTAGTCACCAGCCTTGGGCATGGCTCAGGATGTAGCTAGGCTGCACGCTTGTAGCTCCGCTCGATCATGTTGATGGTGGCTCTGGCAAGCCTGGCGCGTGTGTTGCTAACGACGGCGATTGTAGCTGTCGTTGATGGTACTGGAACGACAGGGTCCAAGTTGATTCATTTTGGCGGTGTCGCGCTCTCTGGCAATGCCACAATTGTGAGCCTAATTCCTGGGAGTATGGACCTCAATCCTTTTTGTTACGAGTGCCCGAATAGCACCTACGCCGACATGGTCGCGGACAATGACCCTTTTGTCAAGGCGCACACAGAAGTATCTGGGACATGTGCCGACCATGGATTCGCGAAGGCCCTGCGCAGCGACCCCATTTTCCACGATGCCAAGCTGTTCTGGAAGGGCGGATTCCGACTCCCTGGCAATGATACGAGGGTGAGCCTCGTCCCTGGCAGTGTTGACCTCAATCCTTTGTGCTACGAGTGCCCGAATGGCACATACGCCGACATGGTCGCGGACAGGGACCCCCTCGTCAAGGCGCACACAAAGGTAGATGGAACTTGTGCCGACCATGATTACGCAAAGGGCTTGGGCAATGACCCGATATTCCGCGATGCTAAACTCTTCCGCAGGAGCACAAACGCCGAACTTATGGTATAGACTATCTGTAAGCCACCGCGTGTAATTGAAGCTGGCATGTCGACGTGGCTCTGATATGAATTGCAAGTCGTTGTTTCTGGGGTGTATTTGTTATTCGTGCCACTGTTCATATTAGCGGTTGCAGATCCGAGTTAGCAAGTCGATTCTCGCCTGTATAAAGCTGGATGAGCGCGTCTACTTGCTCCCGTTCGAACGGCTTTTGTTTGCAGGTTTACAGCATGGGTTCTGGGCAACGCTTACCCTTTCGCCTCTGAGCAATCCGTCGGCTCGTCATCCTTGCACGGTGTCGCCGTTCTCTCACCCAAGACTTTGCGGACATCCTGCAGTCGGATCGTCCGGGCGCAAGTTGCAGCAGCAGGCATACTTCATTACACACGTGTGTGCACAAAGCCTGCGTAAATAGGTGTTCGCTTCGACTCGGGTATTGCACACGCACGTGTTGCGCCGCACTGAATACTTCAATGTTGTAGGGTGATCTTGGGTGGCTGGAGTCCTCTGGCAGAAGCCTATACTCTGCAAAGTTATTGGCCAGGTTGCGGCCGTCGTTGATCTCAGTGGCTCGTATTCGGCCTGGGCAGAGCAAGGATTTGCAAGGGGTGTTGTTTGGCGCGCAGCTACCGCAGCTCCGATCTGCAAACAATTGGGGCGTCAGGGCGTGTGTGTGTAGAATGAAAACATCAACGAAGCCGTTAAGCTCAGCCGGCCATCCAGAATTGCAGGACGCCATGCGTGATGCGGTGCGCGTGCTAGCAAAACATCGCGCGCACGACAGATCCAGAGCACGTTGGCTTCATCGGTTCGCGTTCGGATCTCGGAGGCGAGTCCGATCGCGAGACCGAATGTAACTCCGTTTTCGGGTCAGGTTTCAGAAGCCGGGCGAAGGCTGTCCACCCGTGGCTGCTAAAATGGAGCTCCGGGAAAGTCTTGATCTCCTTCCGGGCAGTCGCCTGTTTACCACGTAGTGCGTCGAGCTTTATTCCGGGAAGCTGTTTTTTTTTCTCTTCCGGGAAGACCGTCTTAGCAGCCACGGATTTGCCGGCCCTCGCCCAGCTTCCGAAGGTTGCGAGCGGAACGAGTGAAGCCGAGCGAACCCACAGTCACATTCGTGGCGCGTGTGCAGTGCAAGGCGGCGCACACAGCCCGCCTTCTACGCTGAACGCGGTGCATGTTCGCCGCGCGCTGACCAGCGTGCCGCGCACCAGCGCGTGCTAGACAGCGTTAAGTCGGGCCTGCCCCTCTACAGGGGATATATTCCAAAATAGTCAAAAAATAGTCTGGGGATTTTTTTTGCGTATTTGTTGACCATTTGGGAGTATCTTTTGAGTGTTTTTTATTTTTCGTCGAAAATCCTCCTGTAGGGGGACAGGCCCGACCTAAAGATAGCGCCGGCAGCAGCTGCAGCAGTGGCTCAGCAGTGTGGAAGACAATGGCGAGGTCCATGCCCACAGAGCACTGCTGCGCTGGCAGTTTCTCCCGCGATGGTCGCCAATGCCGTTGTCTGGCCATGAACTCCGTCACCATGCTGTACAAGCGGAATGGCGACAAGCCACACAGCGTCACAGCAGTTCGCGCTCGGTAGCAAAGTGAATGAAAATAGGATTGCCCATAAGGAGTCCCACTCGCTGTTGTAGAGTTGGTCCATCGCCGTTCACCGTTGCACTTTCAATGTTGCAAGATGTTGGCTACAATTGGGTTGCAACGCGTTATGATGAGTCCACCTGTGGTATACAGTAGTAGCGTATAGGGTCCACTGCACCGACGGGGCGCGATCACACGCGCCAGTCCAACCGAATTGCTGAACCCCATCAGAAGGCCGTATAAGCTGATGAACTCATGCACGCATTTTGAACATGGCGTTGATGAGCATTGGCGCGCAAAAAAACATTCGACATACTTGATGGCATTGGATTATAATGCTTCTCTTCAGCTGCAAAACAAGAGACCGACTTATTGATGTGTGTTTCGTGCGCGCAAGAGCCCGCGCACGTGTCCCGAATGTTCCCAGCATGCTTCGCAACACATGTCAAGGAAGTGTCCCACCACGTTGTTCATATACAAAAAAAGCTGCTAGGGCTGGATCCGGCGGATCGCCGTGTTGCATTGTTTCATAATTCGGATGTGCGCGGGGCATAGAACGCATATCAGAGTGCATCGGAATATGCTCAGGGCCTGATCCGGCAAGTAGGGCCTTTCGGAAGGATCGAGTAGAAGTTGACCGATGCTGGCGCAGCTTGGGTCGTGGGACTAGAGTGCGTTACCACCTAGCGAACGAAAGAAGGCGCTCGCGCGCGGTCTCGGCTCCGACCATTTGGAGAGGGGGGAAAACACCCGCCGCGCACGGGCGCAATCGGAACTGCAGAAATTCGTTGTGCGGCGCCTCGCCAAGAGCACCACTTCGCCTTCTCGCGCGCGCCAAGTTTCCGATGGGATTGGCAGTCAAGCGTGTGCCGCCACCAGGCAGCACTGCCTCTCTCTCTCTCTCACGAGGAATCTGCGCCGATGCGAGCATGGCATATCGCCCTTTCGAGCCCAATGTGCGCCCAGTCGCGTTCCCGCCACGCATTTTGCAACGTCCACGACAGAGCGTCCGTGTTGAGAATGAAACACATCTATGTTGTGCTGCTTGTCGTAGGTCGGATGGAAAGGGCCAAAGGCCTGGAGGCGATCGGCCAGCTAGGTGGTAGGGCTGGAGCACGTACATACATATATATGTGTATATATGCATACATATACATATATACAGATGTATGTATGTACGTATGTATGTACGTACGTACGTACGTATGTATGCATGTATGCATGTATGTATGTATGTATGTATGTGTGTATGCATGTGTGTATGTATGGTTGTGTATGTGTGTATGTATGTATGTATATATGTATGCATGCATGCATAGATGCATGTATGTATGTATGTATGTATGTATGTATGTATGTATGTATGTATGTATGTATGTATGTATGTATGTATGTATGTATGTATGTATGTATGTATGTATGTATGTATGTACGCCGATCCACATATATATATATATATATATATATATATATATATTCGTTGTTCTCATTGGGATCACTGCTGGTTTGTGTGTGCGTGCGTAGACATACATCTATTTATTATATACACACAGCACCGCAAACATAATCGTGTGCACACGAGAATATCGAAAGGCCCCATGCTCCATTGACGAATCTCTCCGCCGCAACTTGAGCCATGGCCAGGGAGGCTGGGTCCCCGACGCCCTGGAGGAGCCCACGACGGGCCCCGGGTGGCCCCAGGATGGCCCCACGAGCCCGAAGAGGCCCCGAGGAACCGGTGAAGACTGCTGAGGCCAGCACAAGATGTCGTGGCGCCAACATCGCAGCGCGGATCTCCTTCGGAATAGGGTGGGCCCGGAGTGTCCTGGGGAATCTCGTTCTGGACTTCGAGGCGAATTTCGTGCGGATCTCGTCTGGCCAGGGATGAACCAAAAAGAATCCACGCGAAATTCACTTCGTTTTTCACTCGCCGTTTCGGGGTTCTGCATGGGCAGAAATGCGCGCAAAAATCTGCCGCAGCACGTCTGCAAGGTCGGTGCAGTGACAAGATGACGGGCCCCCAGGACGGCCCAAGGGGACCTTTGGAGGACCCCCTAAGGAGCCTGCGAGAGGCAACAAGATCATGAGCTTCGGTCTTCGCGGCAGTTTGGCATAACCGCCTTTTCGGTGCTCAGAGCACCCAAGATGGCCCAGCATGCCCCCAAGATCGCCCCAGAGGCGCCCAAGTGGGCTCGAAAAGTGGCCCAGGACGGCCCAAGAATGGTCCAAGAGGGCCCCGAGACGCCCCAAGAGGGCCCCCAGAGAGGCTCCAGACGTGCATAGTGGCCTTCGGGGCATCCCGCCACCATCCCGCCACCGTCCTTGGGTTGTGGGTCGGAGACCTTTTCGATGCATCGTAGGATCTCTTGATATGCTGCTCAGGGGCCTCTTGGAGCCTTCTTCGGAGCCCTCTGAGGGTTTTTTGTTTCGCACCTCTCGGGCCTCTACAGGGCCTCTTGGGGCCTCTGGGGAGTGTTTCGGGAGCCTCTGGGCGGATATTGACGCCCTCTTTCGCTTTTCCTCTCTTGGGCCCTTATTGGAGGCGTCTTTGGCTTCTTAGGGGGCTCGTGGGCTTGTGTGCTGTCTTGGTGCGGTATTGGGTGCTTCTGTGGGCCGTTGTGGGCGACTTTGGGACCGAAAAGCAGGGGCTACAACAGTCAAAATAAAGTGTCTAATCAATTGAGCCTCTTGGGCTGGCCTCCAGTGCTTCCAAGTGGCCCGAGAAACAAAACTTGGGCCGACTCACGTCCGTCCGTCTGAAGGACGTTGAGGGGCCCTCTTGGCCTATCTTCGGGCTCCCTGGCGTTAGGAAAAATCACGCGACATTGCAGGAACCCTGCGACACACCCCAGGAGTCTTGCGAACGGCCCCGGGAAAGCCGGAAACGCTGGGCCTGGACAGCAAGTGATAGTTTTGTACTTATTGTTTTGCTGATCGGCGCGGGCCCCAAAACACCCCCCTCCGCCCCCCATGGAGTAGATCTTGGCTGTTCTTGGTGCCTGTTTCGAGCAGGTGGAGCCCATCTCCCATAGGACACACTGTTAATTACAAAAAGTCGCAGTAAGCAGGATACTGTTGCAGACAGTCGCAGTAAGCAGAGGTTCAGAGCCAGACCCCTCCCCTTCCCCCCTCCTTCCGCCCGACGTCGAAACGCCGAAAAAAAGCTCACAAGTATAAATGTGTTATTTCTTGTGATACCTGGTTTTTTAAGGGATCTGAGGACACTCCACTTCGCCCCTGGGGGCACGGTGGCGGACCAGGTGTATCTGCAAATGTAAATGTGAATATATATTCAGATGTGTGTGTACACGCCGGTCGTTGAAAGTAGGTATTTTTGGATTCCCAGATCCCAATCTACTTCAAGCGCCTTCCAACTTCAAGAATCGACACGCTTTTGCAGTATCTTGTTATTCTCTGGGAGGGCCTGGACCCAATCTACTTGATCCGCCTTCCTACTTTATACCTATACGACCACCCTTCGGGTGATAAGGAGGTTCGGGGGGGGGGAGGAACCAACGTCTCACTCGATCGGTCTCACCATCGATCTCACTATCGATCTCAGTATCGGTCTCGCTCGATCGATCTCCCTCGATCGATCTCACAATCGATCTCACTCGATCCATCTCACAATTGATCTGACTATCGATTTCACAATCGATCTCACAATCGATCTCACAATCGATATCACATTCGGTCTCACTATCGGTCTCACTATCGATATCACAACCGCTCTCACAACCGACCTCATTCGCTGTCTCATTCGGTCTCACTACCGATCTCACAATCGATATTTCTATCGACGTCGTCATCATCATCATCGACATCACCATTAACATCATCATCATCGTCATCATCATCATCATCATCATCAGCATCATTATCATCATCAACGTCGTCATCATCATCACAATCATCATCACCATCATGGCCATCATCACCATCAGCATCGCACAATCGATCTCACATTCGGTCTCACTATCGGACTGTAATCATCGGGACACCATCATCATCAACATCATCATCACCATCATCAACATCATCATCAACATCATCGCCATCGGGACACCATCCTCATCAACATCATCAACGTCTTCATCATCACCACCACCATCATCATCATCACCATCATCACCATCATCACCATCATCACCATCATCATCTCACAATCGATCTGACTATCGATCTCACAATCGATCTCACTATCGATCTCACAATCGATCTCACATTCGGTTTCACTATCGATATCACAATCGATCTCACAATCGACGTCATCATCATCATCATCATCATCATCATCATCATCATCATCATCAACATCAACATCAACATCATCATCATCGCCATCATCATCATCATCATCATCATCATCATCATCATCATCATCATCATCATCATCATCATCATCATCATCATCATCCATCATCACCATCATCATCATCATCATCATCATCATCATAATCATCCACATCATCATCGGGACACCGACGGGACACCGACGGGACACCAGCGGGACACCCGCGGGACACCGCGCGCCACCGGCCGCCCGGAAGAGACACATTTGGTCCGGCCGCGCCTCAGCCACAGGGACACCGACGGGACACCAGCGGGACACCGGCGGGACACCGCGCGCCACCGGCCGCCCGGAAGAGACACATTTGGTCCGGCCGCGCCTCAGCCACAGGAGACTTTCCTCTCGCCCGCCCACGCAGCTTCGCCTCGCCCGCGCGCACGGCACGCACGAACACGAAACCGAAATCGATTTCCCGGTAGGGGGGCTCTCCGTTCCACTTCGATCTCACCCCCTCACCTCCGATATATATATATATATATATATATATATATATAGATGCGCGTTTACACGTAGTCACATTCATCTGTGCGCATGTGTACATCTACACCTGCGCGCATAGAATCACCAGTGAGGCGTTGTATCGGACAGCGCCTGGCAGACGTTTGGCTGGTCGTGGACGGGCCTCTCCGGCCAGTGCGGTGATGTGGCCGCAGCGCAGGCCCGCAGCACGACACACGAACACGCTGAGCAGTGGCAGTATACGTGGCCGTTCTACCAGTAGCCGTCCAACCGGCATGCACAATATCAGAGCCCCAAATCATCAGGGGTAATTCGGGTCAGGGCTAACTCGGGTTTTCTCTTCGGGATCCCGAACCCGAGTTACCCCGGGCCCGAGTTACCCCGGATAACTCGGGCGTCCAAAGCCCCAAATCATCAGGGGTAATTCGGGTCAGGGCTAACTCGGGTTCGCTTTTTGGGAATCGAAACCCGCGTTGCCCCGGACCCC